AGCCCCAGCCACTCTACAGGAGAGATGGGGCAGTCTGCTCAGGTAAAGATCACAGCTTTGGAAGACTTGTGGGGCAGTTCTTAACTGAGTTAGAATTCTCTTCATGGTGGTGGTTGTTCTTGAGTACCGATGAATTGGAACAGACCCACAGTGGACCTTCCAGCGGGTTTCCAGGGAAGTTAATTGCACAGGAGGAGATTACCCATCCTTCTCTCACAGAGCAGCTGGCAGATTCTACTATGTGTTTTGGGATGGCTCTCTTTTGGGGTGCAGGTTCTCATCACAGAAAAGTCATATACACACATGGATATGTAGACCCTGCAGAAATCCCAAAAGTGACACAGATGGCTTACCTCTTGCACAATGTGCAGGCATACAGGTGTACATCCCTGGGTTGGGTGATGCATATTGGTTGTGTGATTTTACCAAGCCAATCTGCTGCTGCCAAGTGTGTTCCATTCATAATGGTGACCCTCTAGCAGGCTTTCAAATCAGTACATCTTTAAAGGAGACTACCCACCTTTGTCTCTCAGAGCAACTGGTGGATTCGAACCACCTTTCATTTAGTAGCCCAACAAGTAAGGCACCACACCGTCAGACCTCCTTTTGTGGACATCTCAAAAGTCAAACTCATTGCCTTTGAGTCCAAACTGAGTCATAGTTGACCCTCCAGCTCTAGATTGACAGCCACGTCATGGGGGAGGAGTGTTCTTCCTTTTCCTGAGGAATTGCTGGTGGATTTGCGGTGCTATCTGTTGTAGCAGTATAGCTCCTTACAGGTTGCATGTTGTTGTTGTACTATCAAGCAGGAACCCGGTGGTTCCTGACCATCAGTGGGTTTTCAGAGGCAGTGAATTGCACAGAAGGAGATTGACTGTTTTTCTTCCCATGAAGCACCTGGTGGATTTGAACCAAGTTCTTTTGGGTTGATAGTGTAATACTTTATCACTAAGCCACCAGAGCTCTCTATAGACTATATGGACATCTCTTATTAGTAAGTCTGAGCTGTAAGTCAGTGGGCCCAGGTGATATCCAAGCCATCTCCCTGTGCTGATTTGGAAAGTAGAGTGGTGGTTGTGTATGTAGTCTACCACTGTACTCCTTGCGGGGAGGGAATCTTTGGAATCTACTTTCCTTCAGACACCTGAGATTTTGCATCATTTCACATTGCTTTAGTTTGCAGGGCACTTTTGGAAATCACTAACAGCTTTTTTTAGACCCACAGTCACTTGACACAAAAAGCAGAACCAGAAAGATTGGAAAGACTGATGTCCAATGGGAAAAGGCTGCAGGCCTCTGCTGCCTCTGCTGTGACTCTCATGTCATTGCATTGTCCAGTAGGGAAAGGTTGCAGGGAATCTCCAGTGGGAAAAGGCTGCTGCTTCTACTGTGACTCCCATGTCATTGCACTGTCCAGTGGGGAAGGACTGTAGGCCCGTGCTGCCTCTGCTGACTCCATGTCACTGCATTGTGCCATGCTGAGGTGAAGATGCTCATAATACTGAGCCACCACCTCCTCCCTGCTCTATTGTGGCATGCCAGGCCCTCTTGTCACCGGTCCCCATGCAGTCAGCTGCCCATGGGCCCCAACCCCATGCTAGCTCTAAGTGCAGGTCTCAATACAAATGAGCAGGCAGTGTATAGCCAAGCTGAATGACAGACCTCTTCCCCTCGGCCCGTGCTCCCTCCTCCTCCTCGTTTTCAGCAGCCCTCTTTACAGGCGCCAGCTGCCTCATTAGAGAGCAGCCTTTATGCTCCGTTCACCTGTACCACCCTCCACAGTAGCTGTCCAGCCCAATGGCTGCGGCGAGGCCTTTGCACTCTGGTGGAGGCAGTGAAGACACAGACCCTGAGCTCAAGGAGATGGAGGCGGTCGGGGCAGCCCCACAGCACAGGTACAACTTTCCTTTTCTCTTGGGTGCTCAGAGCAGTGCTGGCCTGAGAAGTGAGCAGGTCAACGATCAGGACTTCTTCCTAAGAGCCACCCCTGGAGATCCTAGCGGAGAGGACAGGGCCTAGATGCCCCAGGGAAGTGGGTGGGGAGCAGGTGTGTTCATAGGTGTTGGAGCAGAAAAGAAATGCCTTTACAGGCTGGGAAACTGTGAGCACAGGCTCACACACCCATACTAAGGGTGCCTGCCGCACCAGGTCCCAGGCCATGCATTAGGTAGCTTTTACTTCTCTTTCATCTCCTTTTTCTATTTCTGATGACAAGGACCATCCCTGCCCCTATTGTATCCCATGCACTATTCAAATCTGTAGAGTCACTCATCAAAGATAGTTCCTGAGGGCCTGATCCTTCACCTCCACACTGCAAAAGGTCAATGCTTAACTCAGAAGCCGCTTGAGGTCCACTGGTGTGGGGGAAAAGGCAAGTTCAAAGGAGAAAAGGAACTCACCTCCTTTTGTTCTTCAAGAGGCAAGCCTGTGAGCACACCTCTTATTTTATCACCTGCATACTACCCTGGCCAGCACTCCTCTGTCCAGAGCCCTCCTGTAGCAACCCTGTCCTCTTCCAGGGCCCCAAGTGAACCACTTGGAAAGTTGCATTCTTGGTTGCATGTTGACTTCATCTTCCAACTCGCTGTTTGACTTCGGTTGCTCCACAACTGACTAGTACCCTGGAAAGGGCAGCCAGATGGTTTGATGTGTTCATAGAAGTGATATGTATGCTGTGTGCATGGTGTATGTGAGGGAGGTGTGCAGAGGGTGTGTGCATGTGTTCGTATGTGAGTGGTGTGCACAGCATGCATGGTGCATGTAGGAGAAATATGAATGTGCTCTTTGTATGAGTACACCTGTGTATGTGTGTGTGTGTGTGTGTGTGTGTGTGTGTGTGTGTATGTGAGTGATATGTGCTTGTGGTATATGCAGTGGGTGTATCTGAAGGAGTGTCTGAGCATATGTGTGTGTGTGTGTGTGAGTGATTTATGTGGTGTACATGGTGTATGTGCTGTGTGCAATAGATGTATATGTGAGTGTGTGTGCAGGTGAGTAATGTAGTGTACATGTGGCATGTGCGTGTGGGGTGTGTGCGTGCACGTGTGCGTACAACCAGCCCTCTGGCTGGGACCAGCAAGTTGAGGGCTGTTCTCTGCTTTGAGCCAGGCCAAGGGCTGCTCTGGGGCTGCTTCATCTCGAGCCAAGTCCTTCAACAGAAGCAGTCAAGAAGCCAAACTCTGGTGAAAAGCTCTGATGTGCTACTGCCTCCCCTCTGACGGCCATGGGGACATTAAACCTTCAGCAGTCTGGGACTCTGATGGCTGGTTCTTGGTTCTCTGCCTGGAAAAACAGTAGGAGAATAGTAAAACCTTAAATTCTAACATGTGTAAGTTATACATCTTATTTTCATTTTCAGCCCTTGCTCCCTCTGTAAGACATCAGGAAAAAATTACCGTCTGACTTCTAATATCTCAGTGGAGCATTTATCTCCCAGCTATGATAAGTGATCTTCAATATTTTTTTTCTTTTCAGATTAAGAAACAAATTCATTTCATTTTCTTTCTTGAGCGTGCATGGCCTCGGTCCTGCAGTGTCTCTGGGAGTGGGGCTATGTCTGGCAGTGTCGCTGTGCTGTCACTGTGCTTCCCTGCAGCCTTGCATGTACAGAGGAAACAGAAGGCATGACCTACCTTCAGCTGTGGCAGGGCAGCAGCCAGGCTATGCAAGTCCAGAGAAGTTCTGGGGCTGAGTCAGAAAGCTTTCATGAAAACCTTACCTGCATTTGCTGGCCTTTAGGTCTAGTTGGGAGCTCCCGGGGCCAGTGGCTGTGTCCCAGGGTGCCAGGACCACTTCTCCTGCTCTTGGTCCTGCTTCTGCCAGAATAGGAGCTGGCAAAATAGGAAAGGATGCTTTGCTCTGGGCATGGTGGGAAGGCTGTGGTTCTGGACTGGGAGAAAGTGAATTTCCTGCCTTCTCTAGACATGTGAGTGTTTCTGCAGGTGACATGTCCCCAGTACTGAGCTGAAGCCCTGAGCAATCCAAGAGGACCAGGTACTAATGGGACAGGGTGTCCATGTGGGGACAAATGATCAACATTCTTGGCTGTTAATCCCATCTCACATTCAGATGCCCCAGAAGTAAAGCCTGGTGGTCTCCTTTCATTAAAATCTCCCTGGACATATCTGATGGAGCACAGTTCTACTGTGGCACTTACAGGATTGCTATTGTGTCAGAGTCAAGTGACTCATTCACACTGTCCCAGGTGAACTTGGCCACCAAGCCTGCAGCAGCTACAGTCCTGTCTTAGGGTGCATTCTCGCTTCTCTCCCTCTGCACACAGCCACGAGCTTTTTTGCATGGGCATTTAGATGGGTAAGTCCAAATGCCCAGGTGCTGCTCCACTGCTCACCAGCTGTGTGACCCTCAGCCACTCACGTAGCCTTCAATTTCTTTGCCACTGAGAAGCTCACAGAGCAGCATGTGAGAAATGCATTCATGTTATATATGTGCAGTAGAGGATCCATTCAGAAACATTTGTTCAGCTACAAGACAGAACACTTTGAGATACACGAGATGTTGGAAGCTAAAGCAGGGGCACAGTCTTGGGAAGCACAAGGGCCGTGAGGTGAAGGGCCTCTGGCAAATAACTGCAGCTGCAGCAACAGGGACAGGTGGGAGAGAAGCATCCCCTGATTGAGGACAAAGAGCAAATGCTGTGTAGTGCGGGTCGCCTGGCAGTGAGGCTGCCATCCACTCGGGAAGATGCAGTACCACCGTAAAAGCTTCAGGCATCATTAGCGGGCCAGGAAGAAGGTGCCAAAAATTTTAAGTGCCATAATTATTGGACTGGGCTGAAATTTGAAGAAAATGCTGGTGGCAGCATGGAGTGTAGCAGTGAGACATCGTTATTGTCATTATCCTCATTGTACCAGATGGGGCTGGACAGTGGCTTGACAGTGGTCTGCAGTGGGCCGGCTGGAGGGCTGCCCGGAGCAGGCAGGGTGGCCACGCAGGACACAACGACTTCCCATCACACTTTTGTCTCTTCTCACTTTCAGGGAATCTCCGGTGGACTGCAGTGTTAGCAAATGCAGCAAGCTTGTTGCTGGAGGCGAATCCAACCCAATGAACTACAACACCTACATGGATGAGAAGAATGGCCCCCCTCCTCCCAACATGACCACCAACGAGCGGAGAGTCATTGTTCCCGCAGGTACTTCCTGGCTGCCTCACGTCCTCCCTCTTTGGGGTCTGTAGGGGAAAGGGAGACCTGCTCTGTAGGTGTGAGTGTTTAAACCCTAGCTGAATCACTGTCCTCAGGGAAACACAACCTTGAGAAGATTGCTCTTCCTCCCTTACTCCTTAACTGCCTCGCAGACACATCCCAATGTTCCCCAAATCACGTACCTGGTGTGCTGGTTATGAAGCTCCACCCTCACCCAAGCAGATGTCCCCTGAACAGGCTGGCCCTTTAATCTACAGAGAGAGCAGAAGTGAGGCCTCCAAACTCCTGAGTCCCATGAGTGCCAGACATGGCCGTGCCTCTCTGTAAGGAGACAGCGCAACAGAAGGCCACTAGGCACGGACTTCTGAAGTGTGCAGGCTGCCACCTTTCAAGAATTGCAGCCAGCTCTTTCAGTTTACAATAGGAATAACTGTATTTAACAAATGGAGCACCTTAGCGTGTGTTTAGTGAGTTATGTCAGTATGTAAAAATAGCATCTTTTTCCTCGATATTGGGACTGTTTTATACAGAAAATAAAATAATTGTTCAGTCCTGCCATCCACTGGCTGGATACTGCCTTGGCCAAGCTTAGCCACTTGGTCAAAAAGGGATTTTGAAGCTGCTGCTTGGAGAGCTTGGGCCAGATAAAAGGAACCAGATCATCCAAATCTTGGATGAAGTGAATTGTGAGGCAAGTTTGCAAACTAATCTTACCAAAAGCTTTACCAAAAAGACAAAAACCTGCCCATTTAGAAAAGTTCAAATGGAGTCATGTCTGAAAGCAAAGATTTAGCTCTCTGCCATAATCCAAAGGAATTTGTCTGCCAGTCCAGAGGCGTGACTTTGTAAAGGGCCACTCCTTCCCCATGCTCTGAGCTTACCCGAGTCTGCCTTCTACTTCTGTCTGAGGACCAATGGCACATCATGTGTCCTTGTCCAAACTAAGCCTGGTGTGGAGAGAGATGCCACACAAGCTGGTTTTTCTGTGCCCTGCGGGACTTAAAAAGCAGTGGGGGCACAGTAATCAAGCCCTAAGCAAGAAGTCAGTGATTTCCATTCACCAGTGCCTCCACAGGAGAAGGCTGTGAACATCTGCATGGTAAAGATTATCACCCTGAAAGCACAATGGGGCAGTTCTGCCTGAAGGGCAGGGAATTGAATGGATTCCACGGCAGTGGGTTTGGTTTAGATCGGACGGGAAAAGTGCTCATGAAGCATTTTTAAGTTTCTTCTTTCACAGGAAGATAATTTTACAAAGCAAATGGAAGAATACCTACTATTTATGATTTCCTAGCTCCAAAGCACCATCTACCTGATCCCACAATGGTTAAAGCAGTTGCCTAACTAAAAGTTCAGTGGTTCAAACCCACCAGCTGCTCTGTGAGAGAAGGATAGGGCAGTGTGGTCCCGTAAAGGTTTACAGCTTAGGAAACCCTCGGGGGCAGCGCTCTCTACCCTGTAGGTTGCTGTGCATGAAACTGACTGGATTGATTGCAGCTCATTTGGTTTAAACTTTGTGTGCATCACAGTATTACACCATTTATTGTTGGCCCTCCCAACTTCCTCAGGAGAGTAGATTGTAATGTTTATCCCCAGGATCCCTGGGTGATAAAAATAGCCAGTGAGCTTGGCTGCTAACCAAAAAAAAAAAAGGCAGTGGTTTGAGTTCATCCAGAGGTGCTTCAGAACATCTATGTCCAGCAGCTCAGCCCCTCACAAGCCTATGAGGCACAGCATGCTCTGGCACAGACAGACTGTTGTGAGGAGGGACTGACTTGACAGCAGCTGGTATAGATAAGATCCAACCGAGTAGCCCCTCTGCCTCCACCCACAATGATGGTCCATGTTGAAGGAGTAGTCAGAGGGAGTGTTTTCATACTCCCCAAAGGAAAGCCCTAATTCATCAGGCCTTTGTCCATTTAGTACTGAATGCTCCTACGTTAGTCAAATAACTACCAGCATAGGGCTGACATCCTTGGGGATTGATGTGTTAAAGGGTCACGGATTTTTTCCCCCACCCCGAGCCCACTATTAGGTGGGTAGTTCACTTTGGGGAGGGGCCAGAAGAAGGGAATAGTTTCCAGGAAGCTTGGCCTGCATTCCAGATCCAGACTGGTTGGTGGTGCGGGGTCTGTTCCAAAAGAATATAAAAATTCTTGTCTTCAATGGGACAACTTAACCATAGCAGAAACATGAGAATAACGTTCTTTCAAATTAAACCAAACAATTTTTAAAGGACCTCCACACCACTCACTAGCTACGGATTTACTTAATTATTGTACCTCTAGCTAACTCTCTAAGATCTGTCCTCAGACATTTTGGTTTCCTGCAGGTCCTCCTCCTGGACATGAGGGAAAGGTCTACAAATCAAGGCCATAAAACATTTCTGCAGCCAGAAGTGAGATTTATGGTGGGTTTTAAAGACAAGTATAAAGGAGAACCATACTTAAATCACCTGCTTCATGTTCAGATGGGAAGAAATGAGGCCTAACACATCCAAAAACACATTTCGAGAATCTAACATGATCCAGATGGAAGATTTATATAATTCATTGTGCTTTAGAGAGGAAGAGAGAAGCAACATTGTGATAGGGCCCAAAATAAGGATGAAAATAATGGAAGGAATAAAATATACAATGTAAAATTGAACTTGAGCCCTTGGATACTACAAGTGAAGGATTGAGGGACGTGAAAGAGGTCAGAGGAGAGAGTATACATACTACATAAGCCAACTCTCCCCAGGGCATTCCTTTCATATTCTGAAGTAGTTGCAGGATTATTTGCATTTACCAAAGGTCTAAGTCTATTGGCCAAGTGTCTCTAGAGTATAAACAAGAACAAATAAAGGAACATATTTAGTTGAGAAAGAGAAGCAAGCACAATTTGACAATAAACATTAGAAGGAAGCTCTAGTTTTAAGATAAAGTGAGAGAAGCCAGGATTTGGGGTGCTTACAACCAAGTCATGTCCTGTGAAGACTTTGGTTTCCAGCTCAGAATCTTAGCTTTGGGGCTTTGGGAAAACAAGGGAGCCTTTCAGGACTCCAATTTCCTTCTTAAAATACTCCACTCATTGCTCTCTAGTGGGAACCAACTCATAGCAGACCCTTGAGGGGGTTGTCAGAGGCTGTAAATGACATAGGAAGTGACTGCCCACCTTTCTCCCACAGAGAAGTTGACGGATTTAAACCACCTGCCTCTGAGTTGGCAGCACAATCCCTTTATCACTAGGTCACTAGAGCTCCCTTTATCGCAAAATAGGCAATAAAATCCTTTTTACAGCATTTTCTTGGTAAATAAAAATAGTTCTCTGTACAATTGGTACCAGAATGTTGTTGTTCTGTACCATCGAGTTGGAACTGACCCTCCAGTGGGTTTTCAGAGGCAGTAAATCACATGAGAGGAAAGTACTCATCTTTCTCCCATAAAGCAGGTTCTGGATTTGAACTGTATACCTTTGAGTTGGCGGTGCAGTTCATTACCACTAAGTCACCAGTGCTGCCCAGAGATGTGGACAGTTCTTCATAGAGAGTACTAGATTTTTGACTTGACATTCGAGCATGCTAGTAGCCTAGACCCCAAATTCTCCTCCATGCCCAGCAAACACAGTGACTTTGCCACATCTGCTTCAGTGCTGGGTGCTTCTTAAAGTTAGAGTCACCCTGATACCTGGTTTCTGCTGCTTGAAGCACAGTTGAAATGCAGAGTCCAGACAAGGATAGTGATTCTGCAGAAGCTTTCCATTGGCAACCCAGCCACTGTGAGAGACACCATAAACCCTCTTCCTTCTTTTCATGTGTTCACTCATTGATAGACCCAGGTTCATTCATGATAATGTCAGGGATATGGTAGCTTCAATCAGTGGTAGCACAGCATGCAGCAGGTCCAGGGAAGCTCAGCACTGCTGACATACAATGCTGTGTAGCGTCCCCCTCCTCCTGAGCCTCTCTCTCTCTCCAGTCACACTCTCCTGATCCTGAGATTCCTTGAATTTCCACCACAGCTGTGCTGCCTAATTGCAGGCTTCCCTGCCCTGGGCTGTGAGATTTTCATGTAGGGTGAGCAAGTTTGAGGTGGCTATTACTAATGAATAATTGGATGCCAGGAGAAGGGTTGGCTTCATACTGTGGTAAATGGTCAGGCAGAAGTTCTCATCTTCAGGGATTTAAATATCCTTAAAGGCGCAGAAGGAGGACACTGGGATTAGTTCTGTGTTAATGGCTGATGCCGTTTGGTTTTCCAGATGTGTGTGTGTGTCCCTCTAAAGAAATGAGTTCTTTTAAGAAATCACCAATATTTTAAAAAATACTAGTGGTTTGCCTTTGTAAAAGGTGACAGCCTTGTGTTTAATTCACTTGAATGCCCTTTGAAACTGTAACAGTCATCCTGAGTGGGCAGACAGTGTGGCTGAACCTCCCAGGGGCCAAGTGACATGGACATGCCAGTTGTGGAGAGCCAGGCAGGTTCTGGGGATTGCTGCCCAGAGGAGTCAAGTCCCTGCCAAGGCAGAGGATCTACACAAGCCTGGACACCCATGCTAACCAGGCCCCTGTCCTCTGTAGACCCCACACTGTGGACACAGGAGCATGTGCGGCAGTGGCTGGAGTGGGCGATAAAGGAATATGGCCTGATGGAGATCGACACGGCCTTCTTCCAGAACATGGACGGCAAGGAGCTATGCAAAATGAACAAAGAGGACTTCCTCCGCACCACCTCTCTCTACAACACAGATGTGCTGTTGTCACACCTCAGCTACCTCAGGGAAAGTAAGTGCCTCCCTCCTGCCTTGTCAGCACTTAGCCTGAAGAGGAGGCTGCCCCAGTGCTGGACAGGCATCCATCCCTGGAGTGGCATCCCTGGCCTTCCAGTGTGGCCACAATCAGGGCACATCCTACATCCCCTGCCGCGTCAGTATCCTTTGCAAAGTGGAAGGAGGAGAAAGGAAAGCGGGAGAGAAGATAGAGAGCTGTGATCTCTAGAGTCTCCAGGCTGAGCTGGGCAGTGTCTTCCCTCTTCCAGAAACCACTTTGCCCTGTGATTGTATACACATGGCTACCTGCTAGTGTTTTCCTGAGCGGTGATTTATAGTTTCTGTGGGTCACTGTCAATCATCCTTGAGTCGATCGACACTAAGAACAACAACATGGGAAGTTCTGGATTTATGCATTTAAGGTTTTGATTTGCATATTCACTTTCTCTTGTGTTGTGTGGTTGCTGCTAGGCTCTGCAGTTGGTTGTGACTTGTGGTGAGCCTAGGTGTGCAGAGGGTTTTCAGATTGCCAGGCCTGTCTTCCAAGGCACCCCTGTGTGGGTTTGAACTGTTAACCTTTCAGCCTGTCATCAAGCACTTAGCCTGCTGCGACACTCTCTAACCTCACTCATCCATGGCTTCTCTTGGTGCCGCTACCTGCACATTTTGCTAAATAGGAAGGTGACAGATGTCCCAGCAACAATGAATGGATAGAAAAGCTGTGGTGCAGCCACACCATGGGAAATTGCAGCACTGAAAAACAATGAACTCAGAAAACATTGCACAATGTCAGGGAGCCTGGAGGGTATTATGCTAAGTGAAATATCTGAGTCAAAAAAGGACAGATATTTTAGAACACAGCTGTTCTAAAATAGGACAGGAGGGGTCGGCAGCAGGTTGAGGAGAGAATGGGAAAAGAGTGAAAAGATAATGAACACTGATGAGGGGAAGAACTGTCCAAAGGAACATATAATTAGACAGTATATGTATGACAGCAATCTGAAATAAGGAGTACACTGTGGGGTGGGGAGAAAAAGTGCAACAATGAATGAAAAAAAATTTATAAAAAGAAAGTGGCAGATGTTTAGCATCTCCTGGAAGCTTTGTTTCAGTATATCCAGGAGAGCTAGGCAAGATTTCTGGGTCTTTGGAGTGGAAGTTTACAGATTTGTAGAGCAGTTTGGTTTTGCAAGCAATAATTCACATACGATATGCATCATGGCATTGATGTTATTCCCCATAGCAAGCTCCCCATTTCTCCTACATATTTCCCACTTCCAGTCATCCTTCTCCCTACGCCTCCTGGGCCGGCTGATCCTTTGATCACTCTGAGGCATGTGCATTGCCCCTGGTGCTCTTGGTCACCTAGGAGGCTTCCCAGTGGTTGGGCTGGAAGGTGATGGGGTCGTCTCAGTGCAAGCTTTGCAAAGTGACAGAGCCATGGTCTCAGTGTTGTACCAGGCTCTTGGGCCAGTAAGCCTGCTTTTGTTTGTGATTTTGTTTTATTCCACGTTTTCACTCACCCTGTCAGGGACCTGCTACTGGGATTGCTCCTTTCAGAGGTGTCAGTGTTGGTGGCTGCTACCCTCTTGATCTTCTGGTCTCAAGGTTGTGGAGGTTGAGGTTCATTCATTAGACCTTTAGACTAAAAGTGTTTGGTTTTCTTAACTCTTCTTTGCTCTGGACAGAAAGAGACTCCTTAGGGCCAAGGAACTTTGGAGAGGGAGAACTTATGGAAAAAAGTCGACAGTTACTCAGGATTTCTCCAGTTAGAAGGCTCTCTAGCACCATTCTCTTTGAAACTAGATGCCCTGAGCTTTGAAATAAAATATACACTAAGAATGGAACCGGAATTATTTTAGCCTCATTGATAACTTCAGCTTTTAGTTTTACCAAAAATTTAGGCCAGTTAGACTACAATGCCCAGGTACTTGAAAATTTGCTGTCTAGTCTGAACAGAATGTTTAGGGCCAAGAATTGAGGCTACAAGAAAGCAGACTGGGCTTGCTATATGTAGACATTTTCAGATGAGCTAAATATAGCCGGTCCTGTCCCAAGATGGGCTGGGTAACCTCAGGATACATGTCGTTGCTGCACTAGGCTGCTGGGAATATTGCCAAGTCCCCCTAATGGTGAGAAGGTGATTAGTTCTCCAAACCACTTGCCATTGAGTGCCTGTGGCTCATGACAACCCCATGAGAATCAAGTAGGAGCGTTTTGTAGACTTGTCAGTGGTTGATGGTTTTAGAAGCAGATATCCCAGGGTGCCACTGCGTGGGCTCAGAGGTCCAGCTTTTTGCTTAGTAGTAGCCAAGTATGTCAACCATTCTCATGACCAGAAACTTATAGATGATGCCAGGACCCTCTGCAGTCCTCTGATGGCACTGAAAGTAACCATTTGCCTTGTATTGTTGGTCCCGTGTTGGTTAGTCCTCGATGGCTATTTCTCAGAAGTGCACCACATGGGGCACTGGTAAGGATGGACAGACACTGGCTGGAAGTTTTGGCCAGAATGTTCAGGCTGTGTGGTTAGCCCCCTCCTAGAAGCCTCTGGTAACCAAAGGGAAAGCATGGAGGATGCAGTATATGTCAGCACTGTGGCAGAAGTCTCCTTTCAGAGCCTGTGTGCAGTATGAGGTCAGTCCAAGATACAACCACTTCAAAAAGGGGTTCCGTTTATAACCTAGTTTATTTTTTTGTTTGAGACAATTTGCATTGTATAATGATTTTTATTTTTTTAACCTTTAAGTAGGTTTGGAGAGTTAAAAAGTTAAATAAAATGGGGTGTCTGATGAATAGAATACAAGGCAGAGCAGGGCTGGAAATAGACACAGAAATATCAATGACAGGAACGAGATACCAGCAATGCACAATGCTGTGTCTTTCTTGCCTCTCCCTGGCATTGTCCGTGGCTGGAGATTCGTACATCTCTGACACCTTTGCTCCCTTTGTGGGGAAAAGAGGTATAGAAGAGTATGTTCTGCAGAGCAGTTAACAAGCCCCGTCATTTTTGGCACTAGAGCCAATGCCATTTTGGAGGAATACTCAATATTCTGACTCCAGATGAGAAACAGTGTCATCTGTGCATGGATCATAAAAACAGTGCCTACCTGGAAAAGTAAAAATTATAATAGTTATATTGTTTTTGTTGTTGTTTAATGCTGTCGAGTCATAGACGACTCATAGCGACCCTATGAACGAACAGCCTGAGCACTGTTTGTACATAGAGTTTCCAGAGGCAAGCCATTTTGGAAGTGGATGCCACTCCTGCTTCCAGACTTGATTTAGTCAGGAAGCTCCAGCCAATACTGTCCACCATGGGTGCCCATTATCACGATTGGCACATCACTGTCACAGGCTTCAGCATCACAGCAACCACGAGTTACCTCTGTACAGCAACACACAGACCAGTGCTATGCCACCCAGAAGAATATTAAGGCTACAAAAAAGGTCTTGCCCCAGCACAGTATTATAATAATTCCTTTTGAGGAACAGAGACTTCAAGTTACCCACCTGAGGAAGAAGGATTTGACTCGTGATTTCTCTTTGGAGGGCCAAGCCCATCCTTCTTGGGAGTCCTTTGAGGTTGGGTGGGGTTAGCCTGCTGAGGTGCCCTGCAGGTGTCCCCAGTCTATTAGTGTCTGCTCTGGGAGTTCCTGCAGACCAAGATGCTTTGAATTCATCACCAAATTTCCAGAAAAGGTTTGGGTGAGTAAATGGAGCACGGGGAAGGGGTGCAGTGCTGATTCCTGGTGCTTTGCCCTCTGTCCAGTAGAAGGGCAGGATTCTGTTCAGGAGGGGGAATGGCTGCACCCTCAGCACAGAGGAAGGCCTTAGGGCAAAGGGGTGGGGGACTGGTTACTTGACTCTGCCAGGTAGAAGAATCCACAGTGGCTGTGTTTCCTTGGAGTGGTGCCATTTGTACTTGTGTGACAAAGGGGAAGCTTTTTAAGATAGGGGTTCCACTGGCATACAGCTTAAACCTTCACAAAGGTGTTGCTTGGGGAGGGGAGTCTTGTGGGCTGTCAGACCGACTCATAGATGACTCTCCAGTGGGTTTTCAAAGGCAGTAAATCTCATGGGAGTTGATTGCCTGTCTTTCTCACAAGGAGCAGCTGGTGGATTCAAACCATGTTTCTTTGGGTTGGCACTGCAGCTCTTTACTACTGGAACTCCTTAGGGTGAGGAATAGCAGTCTTGTTAATCCCTAACTTAGAGGGGGAAAACATTAAGTCCGTTATTCTTGAGTTACATGCATTTGCTCCATAGAGCAAATGACTGTTAGGACATAGATGGCCAGGCTTTTCTTCCAAAGTGCCTCTGGGTGGATTCAGACTCCCAGGATTCTGGTTAGCAGGCAGCCATGTGAGTCAACCTAGATGTGTCTTCACTGTGTAACTGGGGCTCAGCTTGTAGCTCCCCAGGACACTACCCTGACAACTACTCATTATAAAACCACTATAAAGCCATGGCAGCTGAGGTCAAGAATACTTCCAAAACTGGACCATAAGTGTATGGCCTGTGGAGTGCTGCTTGGCACCTATCAGGCCTCATCGTTCCCAGACTGAAATGGCCACCAGCTTGTGTGAAGGAACAAAGAGAAGTGCCCTGTACCACGGTGATCCTCATCTCCATTTAGAATTGGCCTCGTTCCTCCTCAGCCTCTGCCAGTGAGGGCCAGACCCCTCTCTCCCAGTCTCTTTCCATTAGTACCAAAAGAGAAATGCTTTCAGAAAGCACACCTTTTGGTCTCTGGAATGAGCCAAGCCCATCAGCACAGTAACTGAGATCTCCTGGGGCTTGGTTGGTGGCCACGCCCCATATAGCAGAGGTGCTGTTTGAGGAAGGCAGTGAGCTTTGGACCAAGCAGATCTGGAGACACCTCCCCTGACAGGAGAGCCCTCAGCAGCTGGCAGTTCAGACTCAGGACCGCTGGGGCGCATTGGAGGGTGTTTGAGAGACTGAAAGCTGTTGCAGGTAGGGGTAGTTAGTGCCAAAGAGAAAAGAAAATGGGCT